TAGTTTTATAAAAGTGATAGATTTTAGTCCGATACATCATAAGTTGATACCTGAATCTACTGCGGTGAATTAGGCAACTTGACAATGAACATGCCAAGAACTAAGGTAAGTACAAAATAGGTGAAAGAAGAACAGGAAGCATATTTCTTTCTCAAAGAAACAAAATCTTCCATCATCTTCGTTGGAACCCTGGCCATTTCTTCAACCTGTGGCATAATCTCATCCTTTTCCTGCAGATGTTCTTCATTTGTTGTAACATTGGCCTCCGCCTTTAGCTCCTAAATCTTGTTACGTAAATCCAAAATCAAAGTCCTTAGAAATTTTCCATATTGGGTATCGTGCCACTTAAAGAACTCGCAATCTAAGTCGGGCTATGAAAAAACCAAATTACCATAAGTACAATGGGATTTCAGCATTTGCATTACAAAAACAGAATGAACAAGAAAGAAATTGAGTTACATTATTTGCCCTATAGCATCTGTGGTACCGACGTCCTGGGTTTTCATCACTCCACGAAATCCACTACAGCGGGATTTCACCATTTGCATTACAAAAACAGAATGAACAAGAAAGAAATCGAGTTACATTATTTACCCTACAACATATGTGGTACCGACGTCCTGGGTTTTCATCACTCCACGAAATCCACCAAGGCGTCTTCAAGCCGCAGTGACACAAAAGTGGTGGCTGGTATGCGTAAAGGTGGTTCTCGACACGGCACGGGATGGGCAGGCCCCTCCTATTGTAGCCTCCTCCGCTAGAAGCAGGTGTTCTTCTCGCGATGGCGCCCTAAGATGGTGCCGACCGCTGGGAGGAGTTGGAGCTAGATGCAGTCATGGAGCAGTCAGGGTTCAAAGTGTAGCACACTCTGAGTGAAGAGGTCGGCCTAGGTCTTTTGTCTATGCTTTTGCCTCCCGCCAAGGCACCAAAATGTCCTTCAAAACCCTCGCACTCCTGCCAAGATGAAATATTGTGTCACCGCCGGTTCAAGGTACTATCCGCCTGTAGAAGAAGGCCTATTTTGGATCCTCTGTGCTTACATAGAGGTATATACGTGGACCACAATCAAGACCAACTGATTCAATTAACAGTTTAACCGAAGTAATAGTTCAACGATTATGCAATACTCATACATACTAATACAGAGGTTTCATCAGTACATATAAACTTCATTAACATAAAAGTTTTACAAATTCTAAGACTTAATATCGGATGGGTAGATAGTTGCTAAGGTACTCAATTGGTTGATGCGGTCCCGAAAGCCAAAGGTAGTGAACCGTAGCAAAGATGAGAACATCTCCGTCTAAGGACACATTATATCTATAAAGTATGTCTACTTCATGTCCACTCCTACAAAGCACAAAAATCTCTCCACAAATAGGGTCTTGAACGATTCTTGTCAAATTTTATGATCCGAGAAGGTGATGAACAATAGCTTCAACAATCAACAGTCGGTCCAGGTGAATGTTCCATCCCCAAGTAGCAAACAACAACATCTAGGGTCCTGGTGCCACCCCTAGCCGCCAAAATGCAAGGTTGCTCACATTGAAATGGCTTCTTCCGAAGTAAGATATCTGTTGCAATGAACAAATTCCTAATATGAACAAAACTAATACCAAACCCAAAACTAATTGGAACCAAATGCAAATAGGGGGGTGACCGAATCCATCTAACCTTCATGGGCGTTGGCCATGATGACAATGCAAGGTGCTCGAGGCAGGGCAAGTACAGGTGATGAGTCAAAATGAAGATGAAGCAACGAGTGGGGAGAATGAAGATGAAGCAACAGGTGGAGAGAATGAGATGAAGCAACAACGGGTGGGGAGAACTAATGGTTTCGTATTAGGGTTTTTAGTTGTTCGAACCATCGCCAAGGCACCGACAGGACCCGAGGGGAGTTGGGAACGGGCCGGGCGCTTCTAGGTTTCTTGCCAAACGGACGGTTCAGATTGATTGACAACAAGAACGGACGGCACGGGATAAGTTAAACAGTGTCCATATTAAGCCGACCTTTGCCACGCTTATCCAACGCTATAATACGACGATTGTCAGTGGTTAAACTGCTTTTAGATTCTCCTGAAAACAAACGCAACCATACATGATAGTTTTTCCCTTTTCATTCACAAAAAATATATAGAAAAACAAAAAAACATTCGTTGAGAGATCAAATATGTGCACTGCCATTTTGAAAGTAGTATTGGGAAGAACTTGCTTTGCATTTCATATAAAAAAGGTGGCATTGAAGAGATTAAATCTGTGCGAATAGATTTTTTTCATTGATTCATTATGTATATGTAACATATAGATACAATTTGGACGAGTACATGATTGTACTTGTTCGGAAGCATAATAACTAACCTAAACTATTAAAACTACTTATACTAACTATAAACTCGCCTCACTCGCTTGGGAGGAGGCGAGGTGAAGTCGGAGTCAGAGTCAGAGTCGTCGGAGTCATCGTCATCGTCTTCGGCGTCGTCCTTGTACTCGTCCTCCTCGTCCTCCTCCTCTAGGTCCTCCTTCTCGGAACTCCATGGAGGACTATAGTCAGTAGGCCTCCAGTCGTCGGAGGAGACATCCTCCTCGGAGGACTGGTGGGCTAGCAAGTCGTCCTCGCTGGACGACAGGCTGCTTGGAAACTTGATGGGGCTGTCCGACATTTTCTTTATAGATTGGAAGAGAAGGGGATGATGGATGAAGAAAAGGGGTGGTTTCAGAGGGCATCGGGCTTGAAGTATATGTAGCGCAGTGGGTACGGCTCTTAGGCTTCAGGTGGTGGAAGTAAAGGTGATTTGACGGTCGTGGAAGTTGAGGCAATTCAACACTCACGCTAAATTTACTGCCGCTTAACCAAACGCTAGTTTAGGGTTGGTGGACAAAATGTGTATCCCAGTCGGCCTGACTTTTCATACGACGGAGCAAATGCAACCCTAATAACACTGCCGCATCTAATGTTAACCCGTCGGTGATATAAGTCTGAATTGTCGGTTTTATTCCTAGGAGGCCTCATCATCGTTCCAACCGGCGGTGGAAGTATCACACGGTCGCTTCTATCGCTACGGCAATGAAAGTAACGACAATGATAAATCAATCTGTAGTAGTGACTTGGTTGCACATGTTGACTTAAGCATTATGCTCCCTTTTATAATACGGCTTTTCCTATACTCATTCAAAAATATAAAATGAAATAAACCTCCTTTGAGCTTGATGACGTCATCTTTTGTAATTGGGGGCTCCTCTGTTATGTATAACATCATCATTAGTGAATCTCCTGCTTGTCATTTCGATAAATCTCATTAGTTCTCTAATTGCGTGGTCATTATCACCAAAACTCACAATTAGGGCTTGATTTCACCTACAGAAACTGAGCTTAAAATATCTACAACTTTTGCTTGTTTCCTACTAACAATGTTGAATAAAGTTGGATATTGAGATTTTAGCGGTTGTTTCCCTAACCAGGTATCTTCCGAGAACCTGAAGTGGTTACAACCCTTTAACCTAAAAGTTCCCAAACTCATGAATGTTTCTTTTACACTCATGAGACTCATCCAAAAATGAGAATCTCTTACTTTTTTCTCTACCTGTGATAAAGTCTTATCTTTAATATATTTGTTCCTTAATAAGTCATGCCAAATACCATGTTTATTGCTTAATTTAAAAAGCTATTTGCTCGAGAGACACTTATTTTATAAATCTAGATTCATAGTCCCTAAGCCCCCTTATTCTTTGGGTTAGCATAAATCCATGGTTCTTCCGCTTTCATTGAGGGCTTGAGGGGATGTTTTTAGGGATTGTTGAGAAAAAAAATAGAGGAGGATTGTGAAAGGGGATTTGCTGGAGCTAGTTTTTTTTATGCAAATCTCCTCCACACTACTTATAGGGAATGGGGATAGAGTTTTCTCAGTTTGATGAAGATGCTCTAAGGCTCTATTTATTTCTGCTTATAATTAATTGGTGAAAAAAATGAGAATCCTACTAAACGATTTCATTATTTTTCATTCTTTTGACCACCGCTTCAGAACTTTAAACTAGTAGCACAATTAAGAATCGAAAAAATTACTGCTATTATAATCAAATCGATTATAAGTAGGGCATAACAAATTTTTAGATACGCCTATTTACCTATCTTTTCTCAGTTCAATCCCGTGGTGAGTGAGTCTTGCACGGTAAAAAATGAGATATCTATATATCTCTTATAATCCTAAATCCCACTACAATTATATCTCGATACATGCAAAACAATCGACATCATCAACTCACTAGCACATACAATTATGACATTTATCTATTCATGCAAGCAATCCATGTCATTATGCCACACCTCTTCACTAAAATTCAGTTGTGATTCTCATAGCAACGCAAGGGTGTATGCTTCTTGTTTAACAGGATTTTCTGGGTTATCACAGTCGGTTCTAAACATAGCTATAATAATTCTCTGGATGAAAATCGAAGCCGTAAACGATAGAGTACAGCCTCTTTGGCACGGCTCATCCAAAACGGCTTCACCGATGAAGCTAGAAAAACTAGCTTTTTCCAATTTCTAGTTCATTTTAACCTCGGCTTACGAAACGACTTCACAGTACAGTACCTCAATTTACCTAAAATAGATAAGCCGTAAAAAAGTCCCTCGGTATCTCCTCGACAGAAGTCCCTCGGTATCTCCTCGACAGAAGCGGAACTATTAGTTGGAGGAAGGAATCGTCGGGGGCAGGAGGCGAGGGAGATCTACGTCCAGAATCTTCCAGCCGCTCTCGTTTCCTCTCCTTTTGCTTTCCATTTTGTTCTCTCTCATCTCCTGCTCGTCGCCGACCAGGACACCGCCGCCTCCTCAACTCCCTCGCAGACTCGTCTTCGAGCCCTAGCCCTTGCCGCCTCGAGTCCGTCTCCCTGCGGGGAGCACCCACCGCCACCGCGGAAGCGAAAGCAGCGGTCGCCTCAAGGAGGAGACCCCCACAGCTGGAGTAGAGACCGGGAAAGGGAGGGGTTCCCTCCGCGCCGGGATGGACGACGGCGATAGTGTCGTCCGGAGCGTCGACAAGGCCGGCGCCGCCCCGGGCGACGACGGCAGCGCGACACCGCTCCCGGAGACGGTCAGGATCTCTCGTCTCTTTCCTTAGCTCCCGCGTGTTCCGAAGTCGGGCGGCGTTTGGGAATTTGGACCCAACTTTTAGAAGCTGGTATTAAATGGCTGCCATCGGATTTGGGCTGGGACGCGTGAACTCGATCGACTTGGTATGCTGGCATGGATAGGTCGCATAGGTGTTCTTGATTGGAGTGTCTGGTTTAATTGCTAGCTAAGGGCTTGATTATAGATGAATTTGGTTTCTTAGGGTTGCCACCTCATTGCCTGAGCGTTAGGAACTGCTCTAGGGTGGAATGTGACTTCACTTGACGTGCTATTTTGGGAAATATGAAGTTTATTTTTTTTAACGAGAAATACTCTGAGATTATGTAAAATTAGATTCCTAAATCCAAGATTTAGCCATTTGCTAAAATAAAACACCTTCTAAAAAATTAGAGTAATCCAACAGCCTTTCTAAATTTTCCATTCTCTATTTTTGACATTGCCACGTCATCCTTTCTTCTTCACCCCCACACCACCAGGACAGAGGTAGCAGCAGCCGTCGAAAGCGGATTTCGCTTTGTACTGCGATGCCGGTCCTGCATGCGTCGATCTAGATGCTCAAGCTGTTGGTCATGTCTTCATTCGCCGTCGTTGGGTGCGAGTCACAACCACTTGCACACGGCGTGGATGTACTCTTGATTCGATGGAGAATGACCCAGCTACAACACGTACATGCAAGCCTCCTCGTCCGTGATAGTGGCCATGTCGAGGGTAGTAGACCCTATGACAGCCGGAGTGTTCTATGCCTAGCTTTTGCCTTTGTATACGACGCCGCGAACAGGCTGGCGGCAGGTGCGCGAGGGGTGTGCAGGAGTCGGATAGCAAGCGTCCCCGGCTAGCTTTATTTACCAACCGAGATAAACGGAATGGATAACTTGTTATTTTAGACTGTGGGATAGAATAGCTGTTGGAGCCTTGTTTCTACTGAAAATATCCAAAATTAGATTGCATGGTCCAAATGGCAACTCTCTTGGAGTTGCTCTAAGGTCTGTTTCGCCAGTCTGGGCCTCTGGGGATACAAGAGCGCTAGAGGAGTTCCAAAACAAACATACATAACATGTAACAATCCTCGCCAGCTTACTAGAACAAAAGCGGCCCAAATTTTGGCAACATCTGAAGACAGCAGCTTGGTGTGCTACAAAGCCAGTTCAGCATCTTATCCGTCAAATGTTCTTGCCTTTTTTTACTTTCAGCAGTGGATGCCATTTCTGAAAAAACCCCCTATCCCTCTGAAGATTACATCACTCAGTTTGTTGGTGAAGTGATGTTCTATCGCCATCTTGTTTCTGTTAGTCCAAAGCGCCCATGCTAAACCTGCAAACACAAATAAACCTAACTGTTAAGGGACTCTGAATCTGTTATTGAGCCACCTCTTCCATAAGTCAGCTCGTGATGTCGGGAAGCCATTCCAATCAAACACCTCTCGCATGCAACACCATAGCATCTGTTCTATAGAGCATCGAAGAAAATATGATCAATTGTCCCTTCCTCTCTCCACATGAACTACAGTTACTTTTACCTTTCTAACCACTTTTCTTCAGTTCCACTGCGGATTGCAGTTTGTTGTGTAACATCTGCCAACTTTCATTGGAATCTTGCATTTCCAGAGCACCTTTGCTTGAAGATCTACTCCCCCATGAGTTAAGAAATTATATAAGGACTTAGTTGTTTAAGATTAGATTTATCTGAGGCCCACTCCGTATCTTGCTGCCCTTAAGCTGGATGAATGTTACTAATTGTCTATGCATGTTGCTGCCCTTCAGCTGGATGAATGTTACTAATTGTCTCCCATAGGTCCTCCCACTGATTTACCTTAGCAACGATTAGACCCCTTCTATATTGTATTTGCCAGTCAGCATTGTTGAAAGCCTCTGCTACTGTAATATTTGATATTGAGCAAATATTTAAAAATATATTACATCAATTTTTTTTAAAATATCAGGGAATTGAATTTTCAGTGCAGTTTCACCGATCCAATCATTGTTCCAAAAAGAAGTCATGGCTCCATCTCCAATTCTATGAATTGCCCTCAAACAAATGTTTGACTTTATGTAGCCCCTAGAAATAGGAGGCTCATGTCATGCCATGTGTCAATTAGGTGCAGTTTTTCATTGGTCTATTTTTTTTCGTGTGTGGCATGAACTTGATGAGTGAGAGAAAAATCCACATCCATATTTTCAAATATGTAGTTGCGGTATAATGTTGTATTTGACATATGCCGAAATGGAGCCAATGGAGGCGAGCATAGTTGTTTGTAAATTGAAAGGGATGTTCTGTAAGGAAAAAAATATCTAGTGATGCTGTTATGTTTAGATTGGCATCCATTTATGGCATTTGTTTTTCAAATTATCAGATTACTATGTTTTTCGATATGAGTAATGTCAGCACATCTTGTAGTACCATATTAATCATACTCAAATTCCAGATGACTCTTTTTGCTGTTGCTTAAAGCCTCAAAAAGGAAACACATGAATGCCTGCATGTTGCAAAGTTTTATTTGTTATATGAGCCTCATATATTGCCTGAAGCACTCTAGAAAGGATCAATTTTATGTAATGAAAATGTTGAACACATGTTGGAACATAGAGAAATAGATGCATAGTATATATCCATATCCAACTCAATACTCTCCTTGGTAATTATTGAATATTGAAGTTATTAAACATGATGACTGCTGTGTAAGGCTTTAAGGACAGGTTTTCTGTCATAACTTTTGGAAATTACTACTTATGCAACAATTTAAGTGAAAGTTCCGACAACTGAGTTCCTCGAAGTAAAAAACTTGAAAAAAATGGATAGACACAATTTACGTAAAAGTTTTGACCAGTCTGAGTTCCTCGAGGTTAAAAACATCAAATTATGGATATTATTTGTTCTGATTTGGGATGAGAGTTTCTAGTCCAGCTGCTGAAAGTTCCAGCATTTTTTAACGATATCTTATATTTGATTTCCTTTACCCTATTTCTCTGTTTTCTTGCAACTGCTTTTGTTGTGTTCTGACTAAACCCTAATAAGCATAAGTGCATCTGGAAAAATGATATATTTAAACAATGCGAACCTTACACTTTTGGCATGTCAGATCTTTCTTTGTCTAATACTCTACTTGTAGAGGGCCTATGGCTGTATTACACATTGACTTGTCATTATTCACTCCTTGCAAGTGGTTGGTGTATATATCTCATTTGTGCCTTTTGCAGTAATAAGGTTAGATTAACATTCAAGATCTGTAGGCATATAGCATCGGAAATTCAGAACCATGTATGTTGTGTTTGACTATGGTGGCATGCTCATCATTTCCTTATGTGCTGGAACAGGTTCAAATTGGCAATTCGCCTACTTACAGACTTGACAGAAAGCTTGGAAAGGGAGGATTTGGGCAAGTATATGTTGGTCGCCGTATTTCCTCTCCTAGTGTTAGTGACAGGACGCCCGGTGCAAATGCTTTAGAGGTCTTTATGCCTTCTCTGGAATTTTTAATCGTAATCATTGTAGCTGCATTAGCATAAACTTTTTTCTTCATAATAGGTTGCAATCAAATTTGAACATCGAACCAGCAAAGGTTGCAACTATGGTGCTCCTTATGAGTGGCAAGTTTACAAGTAAGTGACCAATTTGTCCTTTCTTCTTGCACTGATTTCTACAAAAAATTTCTTTGGCCTTGTTTTTCCATTTATTGCATGTTCCAACTGGAATTACATCTTAACTTTTGTGTTTATATAAAACATCCATCCTGCAGCACTCTTAGCGGAATTCATGGCGTACCAAGAGTACACTACAAAGGGAAGCAGGGAGAGTATTATATCATGGTAATGAAGCAGGCAATACTATTGTATACTGACCGTGCACACACATTCTTGCTACTACTTTTCAATATTTCCTGCTTTCACGTGGCACCTCTTGTCTAAGCCATTATCTTTTAAAATTTTTCCTGTCTAAGCCACCATTATTTAAAATTTTCCTTTCATTAAGGGCCTGTTTGGTTGCCTGCACTAGTCTATATTTAGGCTTGTGCAGTGCAGTTTAATCTATGTTCGGTTGCCGCTTTAAGCTCTTATGCATGCTTGCACAGTGCTCAAAGTAGGTCCAATATTAGGTCGAATTAGGCAATGAAATTTTGCACAAGGTGATTGGGCCACAAAATGAAATATTCTCACCTCCCCTCTCTACTAGAAACATAAGACACCTTCTAGTACGTGGATGGGGCTACAAGCTACATGCTACACAATGTAAGCAACCAATGCCTGTGCAGAAATACAAAATACAAAGACATTGCACATGTTTTGTCATGTGGGGCCGGCATTACAGCCGGCAGCCTAGGAAGCAGCAAGCAGCCAGCAAGGCCTTGACCGGCCAGGAGCACCTCAAAGGGCCTGTAGTGTGAAAGGGTCATGAGTGTGAACAAGTGAATTAGGTGTGAAAGTGAATCAGAGGGTGATCAGCCGGCCAGGCTATCTCCTATATATATGTAAGCTAGACCTTTGATTGGGAGGAAGAAAAGAAGAAGTTATCTAAACCCCTCACCTCTCTCAAACTCTAAACCTCATCTCTTCTCCAGGCAGCCAGGCAACAACCCTGGCGCCACCCCTACCTGGATCCTACGAGCTACGAAGTCAGGGAGCTCCTAGCCTTGGAGTGGAGGCCCTTGACAACCTGGTATCAGGTTTCCGGCGATCCTCCGGCCATCGTTCCTCTGCTTCCGCTGCTGCATCCCAACCCTCCACCCCCAATTCACCCACCCACTCCACTAACTCTTCCTCGATCCCCATGGCCGAGCCCACCATTGGCGATCTGGCCAAACTCATCGGGGACCTCTCCAAGAACATGGCGGCGATGCAACAGCAGATCGTCACGCTGCAGCAGTCCCAGTTACCGCCATCAACCTCCATGGGATCCCGAGGGTCGGGTTTCGATGACCATCAGGGTGCCCGTCCCCCACGGTTCCAGAAGCTGGACTTTCCAAAGTTTGACAGCAAGTCCGATCCACTCGCCTTCCTCAACCGATGCGAGTCATACTTCCATCAACAGCGGATCGCGGCCGAAGAACAAGTTTGGATGGCTTCTTACAATCTGGAGGGAGGAGCCCAGATGTGGTACCTGCAAGTCCAAACCGATGAAGGCACGCCGTCCTGGCGGCGATTCTCCGAGCTGCTCAATCTCCGTTACGGGCCTCCGATCCGCTCCAACCCGATGGCCGAGCTGATGGAGTGCAAACGCACCTCGACGGTGGCGGAGTACCGGGATCGCCAGTCTTTGCTTCCATGCGTCGATGCCGCTTTCGATGAAGCGCCAGCGGTAGTCCAGTGTTCCGCACACCGATGGGCCCTCCGCTTCGGCATCGGCGTCTGGTCAAAAAGAGAACCCGCAGATCTTGATCATGGCGATGAATCTCGCGCACCACTGAGCAACGCGAACAATACTACGCCGCGCCAGCCAGCTGCGTCGTCCCTCGCCGGGGCAAGTCACCTACAAAGCTGCGGCATGCGCGGGATCTGCCCAGGCGGTCCTCCGCCATTGCCCTTTCCGGCACCACCCGCTCCAAGACGTCGGTCGGCCTCCTCCCAGCGGGCCGTCCCCTCCGGCGACTATCGAGTCGGAGATGGAGTCGCGGAAAAGACTTGGGCTCATGTTTTAGCTGCGGACGAAAAATTTGGCGCCACCACAATCGGTGTGCAAGCGCATCTTCTTCCCGGAGCTCGAGAGGTCAATGACGCGAAGGACACAACGCCGCCGCCGACGCCGCCGCGGACGACCCCACATCTCCCTCCTCGCCATGGCGGGCGTCGCGCTACCGGAGACGATGCGGGTCCGCGTTCGGATGGGCGGCACTACTCTTTCGCCTTGCTGGACTCGGGGGTCCACACACAATTTTGTGTCTCGAGGAGGCCGGCAGCTGCGCTGCGTCCCTCCAACTCCAATCCCGGGCAAAGATGAAGGTCATCGTGGCTAATGGCGGCCGGGTGCCCTGCCTTGGTGCCTACTGCGTCGTCCCCTTCTCCATCGACGGCGGCGCTTCACCACCGATTTCTTCGCCCTACCCCCTCGCCGAGATGCGACGTCGTCACAGGGGACCGACCGGTCACCTGACCGGGGCCTATACTCTGGATTTTGGCACCTGACCATGTCATTTTGGCATGGTGACCACCGCGTCTCTTTGGTCGGGGTGGCCACTCTCCGGCTCCATCCTTGCGCGCTCTGCTGTGATGACTTGCTTTTCGGCGGCTCTCTGGAGGAGTTTGCACCGGTGTTCGCGGAACCCTCCGGAATGCCGCCACCACTGCGTTCTCAAGACCACAAATCACCTTGCGCCCAGGCTCCACACCGGTGGCGGTCAGGCCCTACCGCTACCCCGCCGCCCACAAAGATGAGCTTGAACGCCAGTGCACTGCTATGTTGAATCAGGGCATCATCCAGTGCAGCACGTCGGCCTTCTCCTCCCCTGTTCTGTTGGTCAAGAAGGCCGACGGGGGCGTGGCGCTTTTATGTGGACTACCGCGCATTGAACGCCATCACCGTGAAGGATCGTATTTCCATCCGGTCGTCGACGAGCTCCTCGGCGAGTTGCCGGCGCTGGTACTTCACCAAGCTCGACTTGCGCTCAGGGTACCACCAAGTGCGCATGAACCCGGGGGACGTGGCGAAGACGGCGTTCCGAACCCATGACGGACTCTATGAGTTCCTCGTCATGCCGTTCGGCCTCTGCAACGCCCCGGCAACATTTCAAGCATTGATGAACGATGTGCTGCGACCCTTCCTCCGTCGCTTTGTCCTCGTCTTCTTCGACGACATCCTGATCTCTGACGACTCCTCGCCGCACACTGCGTCATCTACGCGCCGTTCTCCAGTACTCCAAAGAAGACCATTTGCTCATCAAGCGCTCAAATGCGCGTTGGCGTCACCTCAATCTCCTACACGGGGCACATCATATCGGCCCGACGGAGTGGCCATGGATCGAAGAAGGTTCGAGCTATGGCGGTCGGCCACAACCACGCTTCGGCCGGCCGTATGCGTGGCTTCTTAGGGCTTCGGGATACTACCGCCAAGTTCGTCAAGAAACCAGGCGCCATCGCCGCCCTCGACAGCCTCTCGCTCAAAAAGGGCGGCTTCACTGGACCGACGCGCGCCGGCCGCCTTCATAGCTCTCAAGACCGCCATCACCTCCAGCGTCGGTCTTGGCCATGCCTAACTTCGCAACCGTTTGTGGTTGATGTGATCGTCCACCTATGGGTTTGAGCTGTTCTCCTCGAGCAAAGCCACCCGATGGCGTTCTTGATGAACCAAAGAACACCGTCATCAATCTCTCGCGGCTTATGAGCGGGAACTGATCGGTTTGGTTCTGGCTATTCGCCACTGGCGACCATATCTCTGGGGGCGCCAATTTACGTACTGATCATTTCAGCTTGAAATTCTTGCTAGACGGGTAACTTGCCACGATCCGTAGCATCATTGGGTTGGCAAGCTGCTTTGGGTTCGATTTCACGATGGAGTACAAAGCCGGCAGCTCCAACATCGTGGCCGACGCTCTGTCTCGGAGAGACACGGAGGTGGGCGCGATCCTAGCCATCTCGGCCAAGCCTTGACTTCGTCGATCGACTACAACAAGCCCACGGTGCCGAACCCGCCTTGGTTGTCATCAAGGAAGCAATCACCGCCAACCAAATATGGCGGCGCCCTTGGTCCTCGTCGATGGCTCGGTCGCGTTCGAGCGCCTCTACATCCGCCGGCGCCCACATTGCGGGAACTCCTCGCCACCATCCACGAGGATGGCCACGAAGGCGTCCAACGACGGCAGCCGCATCCGCCGAGATTTCCACTCACCGAATCTCGGTAGGGTGGTCTAGACTTCATTAAGGCGTCGCCACACATCCAACGCTTCTAAGTCCGAAAGCATCGCATCCTGCAGGATCGCTTCTTCCTCTGCCCGTGCAAGCGACGATCTGGGCCGACATTGGGATGGACTTCGTCGAAGCTCGCCTCCGCGTGGGCGGCAAATATGTGATCCTCACCGTCGCCGATCGCCTCAGCAAATCGCCCACTTCATTCCCTTGGCGCACCCCAGTACTCCACGCCGAGTCGGTGGCCCAGAGCTTCTTCTCCGACATCGTGCGGCCGCCGCACGGCATTCCCGGGCCGATCGTCTCGACCACGACCCGGTGTTCACGCGTCGCTGCTGTTCGGAAGGAGCTCATGCGGTTCACGGTGCCAAGCTCCACATGTCAACGCTTTCCACCCCGATCGATGGGCGACCGAGGCTGCCAACAAGGTCATCATCATGTACCTTCGGTGCTTCACTTTGGTGACCGGCCTGCGTCAATGGTGTCTGCTGGCTGCCACAGGCGGAGTTCATCTACAACACCGCTATCCAATCCGCTCTCAAGACGACACCCTTCAAGCTCGTGTATGGCGTGACCCTCCAACCATCCGGTCATCTGAGCCGGGTGGGGTGGCGGCGGTGGCCAAGACCATGGCGGAACGCGACGAGTTCTGGGCGACGCTGCGTGCCGCTCGAATCGCCTGGAGCTGTCTACAAGCGCTACTATGACAAAGGGCATCGCGACGTCAACTTCAACACCGGGGACTGGGTATGGCTCCGCCTACGCCACCGTGCCCCGGCCTCGCTCCAGGGGGCTGCCCGCGGCAAGCTGCGGCCCAGGTTCTATGGACCGTACCGCATCGCCGCTGCAATCAACGACGTCGCCTACCGCCTCGAGCTCCCTCCTCGCGCTCGCCTGCACGATGTGTTCCATGTGGGCCTACTCAAGAAGTTCATTGGCACTCCCCCGTCGTCACCTCCGGCTCTGCCCCTCGTGCATCACGGCGCGTCCCAGCCGGTCCCTGAACGCGCTTCCCGCACCCGGCTGGCCCGCGGCGTCCGTCAAGTCCTCATCCATTGGCAAGGCGAACCAGCGGCATCAGCAACCTGGGAAGACCTCGACTCCTTCCAGGATCGCTACCCAAGCTTCCAGCTCGAGGACGAGCTGCTCCTCGAGGGCGGGAGAGATGTCATGTGGGGCCGGCATTACAGCCGGCAGCCTAGGAAGCAGCAAGCAGCCAGCAAGGCCTTGACCGGCCAGGAGCACCTCAAAGGGCCTGTAGTGTGAAAGGGTCATGAGTGTGAACAAGTGAATTAGGTGTGAAAGTGAATCAGAGTGTGATTAGCCGGCCAGGCTATCTCCTATATATATGTAAGCTAGACCTTTGATTGGGAGGAAGAAAAGAAGTTATCTAAACCCCTCACCTCTCTCAAACTCTAAACCTCATCTCTTCTCCAGGCAGCCAGGCAACAACCCTGGCGCCACCCCTACCTGGATCCTACGAGCTACGAAGTCAGGGAGCTCCTAGCCTTGGAGTGGAGGCCCTTGACATGTTTATACTGGCTGGGTTGTGCTACATAAGGTCTAATGCGTGCTAAGGCTAATGTAAGCAACCAATCACACCCTAAAGCTCCCACACACAGGTGGGGTCTAGGGATGTGAATTTCTAGACAGCCTTACCATTGCAAAATTCTGAAATGAGGCTGGTCCAAACCTCAGGACCTCAAGGGCACAAGTGCAGACACTCTACGACTGTGCCAGGTCTGTCCTCCTTTTATTAAAGTTAAATCTGATTAATTCTTGTCTTGCTGTTGCTTCAGTTTTCCCAAACCCTTACTATAATCAAAACTGGCACTGGCATTAATTCATTATGCGTTCAGGTAAGGTATAGTCACTACTCTGCACCATTATAAATATAATGAATTGGTGTCTTGATCATTTAAACTAGAGACCCATTTTTTTCCTCAGAAGGTGTGCACCTAATGATTGATGAGGTGACATAGGCATACAAAGTCAATAAGTGATTTTCTTTTCCTTTTTGGGCACTGGTGGGCCTATGGAAAGAAAAGCTTTACCCTTTAGTACTGCCTGTTCAAAACTAGAATAATAGTTTTCTTCCAGTGAAAACCAATCAGTCACTTAGTATTCTATACAATATTTTTATGTTAAGTTCTCAAATTACTTTCACAATATTTAGCTGGTGACTGTCTTTGCTTGATACTACCTAGCATGCTGCATCTCTGACTCTGCTCATTTGTATGTCAAATAAATAGTTGTATTGACTATTTTTTTGAATAAAATAATAATTTAGTTTCAGCTGTCCACATCCAGACTACCCGACTCATTCCACCTCCTTCCACTTGTGTATTTCCATCTTGGTCCCCAAAAGTTACACATCTGATTCAATCAAGTATGGCTTTCACTACATTAGCTAAGTTCGTGCATATATATCAGAGAAAAAAAAGGAAAATGTATGAGATGGGGACCACTGTTGTACTCAGATAGTCAGCTGCACACTGTATCTCAACAGCTCAATCTAAGCACCACTCGCAACCCACTTGTGCCTAATAACATGATGAGTTTGTCCCAATGTTTTCAAGTTGTCCAGTCGAACCTAGTCGCCATGGGACTGACTAGGACGATTAATCACGATTAATCGCGATTAATCGGACGACTTGTACAAGTCGACGGTACCCCTAATCAGTCAGCAGGGACTGATTAGGACGATTAATCGTGATTAATCGGACGACTTGAAAACATTGGTTTGTCCCCTAGTGGCTGGTGGTGGATGGCATGGATCCCCTCAGCTTGACTGGTTTACGAGAGAATTAAACAACAGAGGTGGTTTCTGTTGCCTCTACCACTGTTGCAACTGCTTTTGAAGCTTGCCATTGGCACCATCAATTTCCACTGTGCCACCATAGCTACTGATTATAGCTTCAAGATGGGTGTAGTAGTCAGCAGCTGAAGCTGCCATGAGTGGGAGAGAGGAGTTATGAGAGGGAGAGTAGAGAGAACGAAGCAACAGGCGACAGTGGATGGTTTGGAGATGGTTGTCTGGTAGTTTTAAGGGACAAGAATACAGGTAATCCAAACTGCCAAGCTTGCAAAATAGGCTGTGTTGTTAATGTGTAACAGCAAATGTGTTGTCCAGTAAACTTTTCTATCTTGTATCACAAACCAGTGCAGTGTTCACTAAGACTACTTGTCCATTTTTATTTGTGCAAGCAAGCGTGATAGGTTGGTTCTTTTGTTTTTGCATTTAGCTCATCTTATTTAGTTGCATGAGGTAACTTTTAATCAATTTCAGTGCCAGTGCATTACAATATTTTTCAGCTTATTTGATTCATGATTAGTCATGGCTGGAAAATATTTGAAGGCTTGGTTACTTCATTAACTAAAGAACACTGTTTGCTGGTGGCATATGTTTCTCATGCAAGGTAACTTCTATGCAGATTATGGACATGTTGGGGCCAAGCCTGTGGGATGTTTGGAATAATAACTCTCACTCGTAAGTACCTAATGCAGTTCCAATTTTTTTCTTTAATGTTCTTGCCTGGTTTTCTCAGTTCCTTAATTGATTCAATTTGTTCCGTTTACAGTATGTCTGTTGAAATGGTGGCTTGCATTGCTATAGAAGCAATTTCCATACTGGAGAAGATGCACTCAAAAGGGTATCTGATGTAGTCTTGTCAAAGGATACTAATATATTTTGTATACTGTGTATACAATAATAGCTAACAAAATCTCTTGTTTATGACAGGTACGTCCATGGAGATGTAAAACCTGAAAACTTTTTGCTTGGACCTCCAGGCACCCTAGAAGAGAAGAAACTTTTTCTTGTTGACCTTGGTTTAGGTATTTTTGTTTTATATCAGTTTAGAGGAACAATCTGGTGACACATTGGGTCCAGTGGGCCTTCAAATATGCATGTTAGTTTTGACATAAGATTGATTTGTCAACACAGCTACCAGATGGAAAGACACTGGTACAGGAGAGCATGTTGAATATGATCAGAGGCCTGATGTCTTCAGGTTTGCAATAGAAATACTTCACTAGGTTCTTTCGTCCATGGCTTTATTTCCCCCTACTTCTATGCTTACATTTTTTTTGTCATACATCACTGCTTAATGGAACAGAGGAACTGTTCGGTATGCTAGTGTGCATGCTCATTTGGGGAGAACTGGAAGCAGGAGGGATGACCTGGAATCTCTTGCCTACACACTTGTATTTCTTCTGCGTGGTCGCCTTCCTTGGCAAGGATACCAGGTGAATTTTGTTACAACTTTGAAATTTTCTTAATTACTGATATGCTTTTCTTTTCTTTTTCCCCTTACTCAATTTTTCTGCAAAATGATTTTAGGGGGTGAATAAAGGTTTCCTTGTCTGCAAGAAAAAGATGGCAACTTCTCCGGAATCTTTGTGTTGCTTTTGCCCACAACCTTTCCCACAATTTATTGAGTATGTTGTGAACTTAAAGTTTGATGAAGAACCAAACTATGCAAAGTGCATTTCTCTTTTTGATGGCATTGTTGGTCCAAACCCAGACATAAGGCCAATCAATACAGATGGTGCTCAGAAGGTATTGTTCTATCCAACCTTGTTGCTCCTTGTACTTGCTAACTAAAGATTGCTTCCAGCCATTGCTTCTGTACTAAGGCTTCTCGGCCATTGGTTGTTTGGTACCAGTACACTTCTACATACAAGGATTTGTATAGATGCTAATATATTCTTTTATGAATTTCTACCAGCTTATATTTCAGGTAGGCCAGAAGAGAGGTCGCTTTATGATGGAGGAAGATGATGATGAGCAGCCCAAAAAGAAGATTAGGATGGGAATGCCTGCGACCCAATGGATTAGTGTTTACAATGCCAGGCGGCCTATGAAACAGAGGTACGAACTGCATAGGTGTATGCTCTAGTTAGAAAGAAAATACTTCACTCTAATCATGATTCTTTGCAGGTATCACTACAATGTTGCAGACAGCAGGTTAGCTCAGCACATTTCAAAGGGAAATGAAGACGGCTTATTTATAAGCTCTGTTGCCTCTTGTTCTAATCTGTGGGCTTTGATAATGGATGCTGGCACTGGATTTACTTCTCAAGTGTATGAACTTTCTCCATATTTTCTTCACAAAGGTAAGCTATTAATTGCTGCCCCTTTTTGGTGTTCTAGCGATCTCATATCACTTTATTTTATTTGCTGTACTCCATCCGTTTCAAATTATAGTTCACTTTGGCTTTGTCCTAATTCAAACCCCTCTAACTTTGACAAAGTTTATAGCATAATGTACCAACATCAAAGTAGTTTCACTATTAAATTCTTTCTCCATGAAATATGTCTTATGTCTTGATAGTGCATTTATTTGAACTTGTAGATGTTAATATATTTTTTCTAAAACTTGGTCAAGTCAGCTAAGTTGGACTTAGGAGAAACCCAAGTGTACTAGAATTTGGAACAGAGGGAATAGCATTTAAAACTTGATATTAAGCTGGTCTGCTCTTTTCTTTTTTTGCAATTGATTTTGATATAGCGTGTGTTGCTTTCAGGAATGGATAATGGAGCAATGGGAGAAGAACTTCTATATCACTGCGCTAGCAGGGGCAAACAATGGCAGTTCACTGGTGATCATGTCGAGAGGTAATACAATTGGTGCCTTGGCTCCATAAAAATACTCCCTGTTAAAATTGTGTAATACAAAGATCTACTTTTTCGTGTCTGCCTATAGTATAAAGTTGTGTAATATGAAGTTCTACTTTTTGTTTCCACCATGTTAGTGAGATATACCAGACTAGTTTAACCTTGCATAGAAGTGCGTATGTTCTTTGTCAAGTTGTGACTACAAGCTTTTAGCTGGAGGCTGTGACAGTTTATGGTATTGCACCTGTGTATACTGATAGATATATACATTAGGAAAGTGTATATTAGGCAAGTCTATATTTAGTATGATTAGCACCTGCCATGTATTGCATATATGCTGCCATGTAATTGGCTATATATATCAAGGTCACCCCCCTCACATTGGGTGTGGTGTTTCCCTTCTATCTCTGCTATTCTACATGGTATCACAGACCAAGATCAATTAGATCCTGGACCTTCTACTTCCGCCTCCTTCCACCCCACCTCTTCCCTGGGCGCCCCTCCTCCTGTGGCGAGATGCTTTCCAACGCCGATGCCTCGGCCGCAGCTGCTGCCGCTGCTGCTGCCGCAGCCGCTGCTGCACCACCACCGCCGCAGGCCGTCGTCGTCCACCCCTACACCGCCGTGAACGTGAAGACTCACATTCCGGTTACCCTGGAGATGAAGAATCCTAACTTCACCAAGTGGGCTTCGTTCTTCAAGGCCTTGTGTGGGAAATTCAGCCTTCGCCCCCACATCGACGGACCAGCCCCTCCGACTGCTGATCCATCGTGGGACATTGCCGAGTGCACTGTCCGCGGCTGGATCCTCAACACCGTCCCTGCCACGCCACAAGCCAACCTCGTCACCTCCACCGACCTATGGCATCATCGTCTGGGTCATCCAGGAGCTGCTGCCCTCCATTTGCTTAGACACAATAATTCCATTTCCTGTAATAAATCAGCTCATACTCTTTGTCACTCATGTCAACTTGGCAAGCATGTGCGGCTGCCTTTTGGCAATTCCAGTTCCGTTTCCTCTTTACCTTTTGAGCTTATACACTGTGATGTTTGGACATCCCCGGTCGCTAGTATTTCTGGTGCACAGTACTACCTTGTCATCCTCGATGACTTCACCCACTTTTGCTGGACCTTTCCCCTAGTCCACAAGTCCGAGGTAGCTACTCACATCACTCAGTTTTGCGCCTTCACACACAGCTTCAGCCTTCTGTCCAAAGGCTATTCAGCCGATAATGGCACTTTGAATTTGTCAACAATACCCTGTTTACCTTCTTCGCCTCTAGCGGCATTCACTTACGCCTCTCCCCTTGCCACACTCCCCTCAAAAGCAGCAAAGTGAGCGTATCATCCGTTCTCACGAACAACATATGCCTGACGCCGCTCATCCACGCCCACATGCCACCCAAATATTGGGCAGAGGCACTAGCTACAGCCACATATCTCCTCAACAGGCGCCCCTGCTCAGCCATTCACCATAGAGTTCCCTATGAGCAACTCTTCCAGCAGTCCCCAGACTACACTATTCTTCGTGTCTTCGGTTGCCTCTGCTATCCCAATCTCACCGCCACTTCCAAACACAAGCTGGCCCCTCGCTCCACAGCCTGTGTCTTTCTTGGATACCCTCCTCTCACAAGGGTTATCGGTGTCTCGACCTCACAACTAGACGGATTATCATCTCCCGTCATGTTGTCTTCGACGAGAATAATTTTCCGTTCAACCTTGACCCACCAAAGAGCCCACAAGCTCTCCGGATTTTCTTCTTCAGTCTGCTTTGCGCCGGTGCACCACTGCCGCCACCATGGTGCCCCTGCGGTCGCCCGTCGCCAGATCGCCGAGTTGCCGCCATGACGCCGAGCTCAGCCGAGGAGCTTCGAGAGACCCCGCCATCCTGATTGGCGGTCCTTCCTCCTGGCCCGCTGCTCTGCTCCAACCGGTCCACCTCTCACGGTCTCACGTTCGGCGGCGTCTTTGGTGCTCCCTTCCCGGGGCTTGAGCCGCCTCTGCACCACTGTCTGCACCTTTGATCGTGGAGGTGCCCCTTGGGCGCCCATTGCTCACTTCCGCGACCGGTCGTTAGGAGGTGCCCGCTGTTCCGAGAACAGCCGCCTCTGCTCCGGGCTTGTGGCGGCCGGTCCGCCACCTCCTACTTCCGAGCCGACTGTGGCGCGCCTCGAGTTTCAAAGCCGCTGCTTTGTTGATCGTTACGGCTTCCCATCGTACCGCTCACGTCGCCGCCGCCCATCGCCTCACCCATTCCCGCGACTACAGGGGCCCTTGCCGACCCCAGGTGGCGCGCCATGGCCATGGTGAGTACAAAGGCTCTCGTCGACAACGACACGTGGCGACTTCGTTTCCCGGCCCCAGGTGCCAGCGTGGTACGAGCAAGTGGATCTTCCGCACAAGTTCCACTCCGATGGCACCACGCTCGTCACAAGGCTCATTGGGTCGTTCGTTAGGCTTCACCCACGCCACGGCGACGACTACGACGAAACGTTCAAATTTCCGTCGTCAAGCTCGCCACCATTCGGATCGTCCTCAAGATCGCCAGCCGCTTCTCGTCGTTGGCCCATCCACCACCGGGCGTGAAGAATGCCTTTCTTCACGGTCACACCGCGACGAGACGGTCTCATCGTCGGCAGCCCCCGCTGCCGTCGACCAGCGGCGTCCGGCGCCCGTCTGTCTTCTTCGGCGCTCCCTTTACGGCCTCAAGCGAGCCCATGCGGGCGTGGCACCGGTAACCGCCCGCGTGACGTTCGACAAATTTCGGCCGTTGCCTCGCCACCGACACCTCCCTCTTCGTCTACACCCGAGGCGGCGCCCGATGCCTACTTGTCATTGTCGTCGACGACATCGTCCTCACGGCTTCCTCGGAAGCTCTGCTCCGCCGCATCATCGGTCGCCTTCACTCTGAGTTTGCCATGACGGATCTTGGGGAGCTCCATCACTTCCTGGGGATCTCCGTCACTCGCTCCTCCGACGGGCTCTTCCTCAGCCAAAGGCAGTACGCGGTGGATCTTCTTCAGAAGGCGGGCATGGCCGAATGTCACTCGACATCGGCGCTTTATCGACTCTCGTGCCAAGCTCTACGCCACGGAGGGCGCCCGTCGCCGACCCGCCACGTCACCGGAGTCTCGCCGCTCACTTCAAGATGCCAGACACTCACTCGCCCGACTGGCGTCTGACGCAGTCAAAGCGGTGTGTGCCTCTTTATGCATGATCCGCGCGAAGCTCACCTTATGACCGATCAAGCGCATCCTTCGCAGTATGTGAAGGCACACTGTCGGTGGCCTCCACATCAAGATTGGGCCTATCGACAAGTTGATTGCCTACTCCGACGCCGACCAAGGCGGTGCCCCGACTCTCGCCGCTCCACCTCCGGCCTGCGTCTTCCTCGGCGACAACTTGGTGTCACGGTCGTCCCAAATCGGCAAACCACGGTGTCCGGTCCAAAGTCACGAGAGGCCGATCTGGGGGCTGTTGCTCATGTGGTCGCAGAGTGCTGTTGGCTTCGACAGCTTCTTCAGGAACTTCATGTTCCATTGAAGGTCGCCATAGGTTGTCATCTTGTGACAACGTCGGCCATTGTCTATATGACAGCCAACCCGATCCACCACCGCCCGTACCAAGCACATTGAAATCGACATCCATTTCGTCTCCGTGAGAAGGTGGCTCTCGGCGAGTTCGCGTTCTCCATGTGCCGTCCAAGTATCAGTTTGCTGATCTCATGACAAAGGGGCTGCGGTTCAGCTCTTTGAGGATTTTTCGGTCGGTCATGCATCCGAATCTGATGCTTCGGCCGAGGCGGTGATAGATATATACATTAGGAAAGTGTATATTAGGCAAGTCTATATTTAGTATGATTAGCACCTGCCATGTATTGCATATATGCTGCCATGTAATTGGCTATATATATCAAGGTCACCCCCCTCACATTGGGTGTGGTGTTTCCCTTCTATCTCTGCTATTCTACATATACACTGTAGATTGGAATTGACTTTGTCCTCTCCAGGAACACAATATGCCCAGCAGTCCTACAAAGTAAGCGACTCATTCCCTTTCAAGTGGATAAACAAAAAGTGGAAGGAGGGTTTTTATGTTACTGCTATGGCCACAGCTGGAAGTCGGTGGGCAGTGGTCATGTCCCGGAATTCTGGCTTTTCGGCACAGGTATGTCGATGTGCTCATGTCTAGTATGTGTTAAGAATTAAAGACTGGCCTTTTGCTTTGAATTGTCTACTGGAAAAAAAAAAACATATCTGACATGCCTCGTTATTGTTGAATCTCAGGCGTAGCTTCAAGAAAAGCATAGGCTGAAAAACTACATTGTTAAACTTGGTGCTTATTTTTAATGTTTTTGGTTTTAGGTTGTGGAGCTTGACTTCTTGTATCCAAGTGAGGGTATCCATCGACGCTGGGATAATGGATTTCGCATCACGTCTACTGCAGCTACATGGGATCAGGCAGCGTTTATCTTCAGCATCCCCAAAAGGAAACCTGCTGATGAAATACAGGAAACCCTAAGAACATCTGCTTTCCCCAGTCAACATGTGAAGGTGATTTGATATTCTTTCCCTTTTCTCTAACCTCAGATTGAACATCCATTAGCACATACTAATGATTTGTTTACAGGACAAATGGGCGAAAAATCTCTACTTAGCTTCCATTTGCTATGGAAGAACTGTGTCATGAGGTCTGCCCTGTTTGGCTGGTGTACACTGTAGAGTTTATTTATATGGACTACTGAATTATTAGATTTGGAATTTTGAACGGTGACAGTATTTCAAATTTGCCCACCTATAATTAACCAATCGGATAGATGAGGAAGCCTGCCTCTGTTCAGTTGATAGTTGCCCTAGCTGCCTAGCATGGTTGTAAAAAAAAATCTTGTGGTGTTTGGGTGTTGTACTTGCTTGTTCATAGATTGTTAAAATCATTGTTCTGTAATTTGTAAACTTGATTATCTATCATGCATATAGTTTTAAATTGATATTTAACCCTGAAGGCTAAGATGTATCTGCATCTTGTTCTGTTACCATTTAAGCTTTACAAATTGGATCTCACGCAACATGTATAGGGCTCTGTTTGTTTGTTAGACCCATCCTTGCATTGGATAATTTGGGTATCTGTGCTGCATTTTTCATTTCATATGTGGATAACTCTAGTGTGATTTAGTTGTTTCTTTTCAGCAGTTCAGTATTGTATAATGTCAGTATTAGTGTTGCTCTTTACTCGTTTTTACTGTGTATTTGAGCTCCCTTAACATTTGCAATCCTGTCTGTGAAGGTCCTAGTGAGGATTCTATTTTCTGTTAGCTCACCTGATCTTTACCTACATTGCCAGTATTTGTATTTTTTTGTCTATTGCTTCAAGAAGGAAGTGTTCATGTCCCAAAGAATTCATTGTTCAGTTTGGTTTGATGTCCAATCTTGTTAATCAGAACAAGAATGATGCAGTAGCTTCTATTGCTACTCTGCTGTTCAAGTTAATTTCTGTTGGTGTGAATTGCTATGGGAGTTTCGAAGGGAGGATGCACTAACTGCTGTTGCTACTCTGCTCTAACTCAAAAGACTCTGTTTTGAGCTAGTGTGGAGGATAATTCTGTTCACAAACTGAATACTCTATTGTAAAACAGTGCGAGTTGATGCAGTTGCATCCGTGATCAATATTGGTTTTCTAGTTACATCCGTTATCAATGTTGGTTTTCCAAAGGAAACTGTAGAGCGAGCATTGAAGATGAGACTTTTATAGCAGACGATGAGCTTTTCTCTCTTACATGCATTGCAACCCGATATTATAATACATCATGACTATTGCCAGGCTCATGATTATCAGTGAGAGTTGCTACTTGATGAGAAAACCTTTGGCGATCACTATCTGAACCAACATTTTGGTTTGCCTATGTATATTGTCTACATGTATTATATAAATCTACCTTTAGAGTGTCTAGTGCTCATTTGAATCTATCTGATTTCGATCTCCTTGAACGGTTACAAGAAAATACTGACATAAGAAACTATATGGCGGCCCATAGATTTTTGTGGCATCTATTACGAAATGATATGCATTTATGACTGCTTTTATATAAGATTGTGTCGATAAGTCAGGGTGCATTACTGTCTGCATTTATAAGATTGTTGTCTGCATTCCGTACTATTTCTCTTTAGGAACAGCAAATTCATTACCAAATGAAATTGTGCTTTGAGAGAAGAGGTGACCTCCTGCCAAATGATTATGGGATTGAAAGTCAGAACCAGATGCATTTTGCAGGTTCTAGAATCAAAAACCATAAAGATCCGTTTTCATCTAGCTAGGAATAAGAACCAGTTTTTCTTCTCTCTTTAGAACGTGGAATTTTTTTTTATGTTTCATGTGTTCATCTAAAATAAACCGATTTATGCAAATTTTCGAACAATTCCTATGAAATTTCTCGTTAGAAAGGGTTCAGAAAATTTTGATGTACCGACCAAGACATTTCAAGTCTTTAGTGGATGCTGCGTGTGACTTATAAAATAAGTCCTAAACACTACTTTCATTCTAAATTACAAGTCATTCCAACTTGAGAATCACAAGCATTTCAAGTTGGACAAAATTTATATAATAAAATAATAATATTTATGATATCAACTAAGCATATTTAGATTCTTCATTAATTATATTTTAATATCATACCTATTTATGTTATAAATCTTTATAATTCTCTTTTTAAATCTATGTTAATCGTTCCTTTGATAGGGTCACGTATGGAGCGTGACGCAAGAAGACAAACACCTCTGATGGCTTCAGGAGCTCGGAGGCAATCGGGCTCATGCACCAGCCCCTTAAGCCGGCTGCCTTCGCCACCAAGAAGCCTCTAGAAGGTGCACTTGGTGGAGGCCGGTCCAAGCTGATACAGCCTGACGCTCAGCGTGTCAGAACAGAGCATCCAGACGACGTTTAGAGCTTCTTCGGCTCCACGACATCGCCAAAGTCCACACGACGTCGCTGGAAGACCCTACTGGACTTCGGCGCATGTACACCATAGGCTAAACTCCCTAAACCGCCATGTGCAGGCACACTTCGATATATAAGGGAGGTCGATCCTAAAAGGGGAGGACGATTTCGAACAGATCATTTGAGTCCTCACTGCTTCAGCTCACGCTTTGCACCGAGAGCAAGAGCAACTCGAGAGAGAGCACAGAGCCCCTCCACGTTCTCATCATCTTCCTCCTCTCCCGACGAGGGGAAGGCACCACCGGCGGCGAGGCTTCAGGATCAAGACCGAAGCGATCCCCTACCAAATGTCTCTCTTACACTGTTGTAACCCCTAGATTTTTGTGCTCTTGATTATAAGGATCATCGCCGCTACTAGGCGTTAGGGCCCCGATTGCCTTAACTAGAATAAACTATTGCGTCCCATCTGTGATTCTTGAGTCTACTCGAGGCATCGGAGACATGTCCTTTGACACCCAACGAACAACAATGCTTGCCGCGATTTTGACCCCACGATAGTTGGCGCACCGGTAGGGGAGCGCTGTAAGTGTGATTCCTACTCTATGGTGGCTTTGAGCCACCCACCTGCGTCGTTGGAGCAAGCGGCGCCCGCCCTAAACGGGCGGCATCCGCTTCCTCGGCGAGTTCTCCATATGACCATGGCGCCTTCGCTCAGGCTGGGTCCTTAATTTTGGGAGCTTGGCCTCGTCATCGATCGCTTTCTGGCGAGCTCCACCCACTCAAGGAGGCTACGTTGGCGGGCAACGAACCCCGACGCTGCCCTCTCTACCGAGCCTCTTGGGAGCAGATCTCGAGGTCCTTGCCGGTAGATCCGGCCGCATGCAGGCCTAGACCCCCACCGTGTCGGACCATCGCCAGATGTTCTACATGTCGCCAACGTCCATCACCAGGATCGCCATCGGGCGAGGTGCTCCCCAACTGCCCGAGCTTATGGTACTACCTCTTGGACCTACCTTTTCGGGATTTAGAATGCGGTGGCATCCTTTCAATCGAGCTGGAGCACCTCGTCAACTCAGAGGGCGCCACAGGCGCCATTGTCTCCGGAGCGTTAAGGATGATGTCCCTCATTGCGCCTTCCTCGAGGTCCTCTCATGGAACGCGGCAAGTACAACTCCGATGACATCGAATCGCTACGTCCCGCCTCTTACGTGCTTCCACATCGACGGCAGCAGGACCTCGTCTATGATGCTCCTAAGCTCATGCCACCGGACTAGAGTCCCGTAGCCGCACGAACTACCTTCGGGAGAAGGAAGTTCGCTGCAGAGCTCAGCAGGTGGATCTATAGGCCGCCAAGGCAAAGCTTCGAATGCCAAAGGCGAGGAGTTTGCACGGCAACAGCGGCGCAACCCCACTGTCGACGATGATGACACACGCTTCGGGGCTCCCGGCATGCGCGCTTCCCATCGGCCTATAACATGGTGGTGCCGCTTGCCATCTCGAGAACATCTTTGACACGTCGGACCCAAAGACCAACGGCGACTACACAAGGCAAGGTAGCTCGCGCATCAACCTCGAGTAGCGAGGCTAAGAGTTTGGCCTCCCGACCATCTTTGCCCTCGGTGTCCCAACCGACAACCATCGTCAGCGGGACCGCTCGACGCGTGTGTAATACCAGCGGGAGGAGACATCGGCGACACTTACAGTAATAGCTCGACCGCCCGTGGGCGAGGCGCCAAGCCTCGGCGGAGCGAAGGCATGAGGTTTCCCTCGCCATCCGCCCGTGAGCAACAAATCGGCGATGGCTGCGACGTCGCGCTTCCTAACATCGAGGCCGGACGCCATGCTCAAGGCTTAGCCTGCACTCACGAGTGGCGGGAAGGGAGCCCCGCTTAGGATCACTTTGGCCCCTAGCGTTGGGGCAAAGGATTCAGCGACTTCCCCTGCAGAGCTTCTAGCCACCGACACACATCTCCAAGTATGATGGCAAGACCAACCAGACCACTAGCTCGGGACTACCACCTCATCATAAAATTTGGGGGGTGACGATGACTTCACCGTGAAGTACCCGCCTCGCTTCTATCGAGCTCAACGAGGGCTCGACTTGAGCAGCTCGAGCCCGGCGACATCCAGCTGTTAGGCGATCTACCGCTCTGTCTTTGTTGGTCACTTCCAAGGTATGTATACGGCCTAGAAACTCATGGGACTGTGCAATTGTAAGCGAGAGGACCGACGAGACCCTTCGAGTACATCCAGTAACTTCTCCAAGAAGCACAATGAGCTCCCAGACATCACCGACACCTTTGCGGGATCAACGCCTTCACCTACAAAGATGACTTGTGAGGAGCTTGTCCACACGCTCGGGCATGAGACCCCACGCACAATGTGGGAGCTCTGGACATCGCCACCAAGTCGCCATGGGTGAAGAGGCCTTCGAAGCCAACTTTAGTGGCAAGGTTGAGGCTGCCACCACCTCGGTGGTGATATAGCAGCGATGACCCCGCCTCGGCCTAGCATCACCCCGTGACAAGAGGGCTAGAGGCGGGGAAGCTTTGTGGGAAGGAGATGGTGGCCACGATCGACGATCGTGCTGTCAGGGCCCTCAACCCCAAAGCGGGTGCATGCCCGAGCACTTTGAGAAGGCGCTCGAGGCCCCTACCCGTTCCACAGGGGCAGACAAAGCACCTCCTCAAGGACTGCTCCACCGTCAGGGGCTACATCCATAGCACTCTTGGCCAATAGGGCAGGCCGAGGCTTGCCCC